GCTTAGAAGAGCGTATCTGACCCTTGTAGATGTAAGACTTCAAGGGAAACTGTAAGTAAAGCTTATGTATTTTTTTCAGGACGAGTCATTGTTTTCCCCCTCAACTGACTAAACAAAATTGGGGAAAAAAAAAACCCTGGATGGCACTAATCTCCTGCTCTAAGTCTTCCGTGCTTCTCCTGTAATCTGGTTTCTTTTATGAATGTTCTGGACAAAAGCCTGGGTTGTACAATAAGTAGTGGGAAATCACATTGCTATGTACAACATAAACATGTTTTTATTTAAATTCAGATTAATAGTTGAGATTTGGGAGACATGATATCACAGTCCTCCTTCATCTTGAGGATAAGCGTTTATGGTGACATCTTAAGTGGAGAGGTTTTATAGGAGATGATAAATAGTTCTGTGGTTTAAAGATGCTGTAGGGGTGAAATTAGAAGGGGTAGGTGGGATAGAAACTTTGTTACAAAGACAAACAAGTGGTACCAAAATAATGAGACATGTGAGTCCCTGTCCAGAAGAAAGCCCTTTAGAAATACTTAATTTTGCTTCAAAAAGAGAGAGAGAACAACTGGGCAAAATGACAAAACAGGAAAAGATAACTAGATTTTTTTTTGTGAAGAACATGCTGTTCTCTATAATCCTAAAGAACTTGACTGATGTACTCGTATTTTCACCTGCCCAAACCTTGCCGGTTTACGAGTACTGTTTATTGCAGGTAAATCCTTGGCTACAACACAGTCAGTTCATCAGTGGCACAATTTATGCTTCAGAGTAATCCAAATGATTAGCAAATGCTTTGGAGTAATCCCAAATGTTGTAGCAAATGTGCATATTGCACAAGTCACGCCTAGCCCCATGGATGACACAAATCACACAGCCCCAGAGACCTCCAGGCTGCTTCAGACAGTGTGTTGGGCTGCTCTTCTACGAGATGCTCTATCTCCTTCCCCCTAGTACACCAAGGGGAGTATGAGTGTGAATGGGAAGCAGGTGTTGATCCACCCTCTCCTCCCCATACCTTCATGCCCTGTAGGTGCATTATCCATGTAGCGTACAGCCTGTTTTTCTGTCCAATTAAAGGTTTGGGGGATTGATGATGGCGATGAATTCAGATAAGCAGCAGGCTTATGTGATAATACAGTTATATAAAGTTGGAAAGAGCAGAGAAAGAGAGGAGATGGTCGAATCCCAGGAAAGGAAATGAGTGTATGGTTATTGTTTAGTTCCCCTTAGAAATATAGTGCTAAAAGTGTCCTGATCCAATGGTACCATGAGCACTACATCATGTAACCCTGCATAATCACACTGTTCTTGTGTTGTGTCCACTTCAACCTGTTTGTACAAGTGACTCCAATAGGAAATAATAGTGGTAGCAGTTTTTACTATCAGTTTTACTATTACTCGCTTTTTCATGTACTAAGTCTCTTCTCTTGAGCAAAATTCCAGATTGCCACTTGGCACTTAGTTTTACTGAATCCTTTTTTCCTGGTTAAATTGGGGGCAGTAGTAAGGTCACTACTGTAACCGTCCTCAGAGAGATCTTTCTTCAAGAATGAGATATCTGCATTTGTTGTTATACTCTGTTCCTTTCCCACCGGCATTGTAAAATTATGGTAATTATGCACCTTCTTCTGCTGGCAGCTGTCGGGCATGTAATCTCGTTTCCAACACCAGCAAGTGACTTCTAGGTATTTTCTCTCTCATTATTGCACAAGTAAGTAGCAATTGTGATTGTAATCGGCTTTATATCCTTTCAAGTGTGGTGGCACACAGGGTCACAGCTTGACTTTGGGGAACTGTTTCAGCTAGACCTAACTGAACAGAGGTCTTGGAGGTGTGCGGATCAATTTAGGGCATCTTATTGACATAAATTGTTGCCACTGCTGCTAACAAACAACTTCAAACATCTGTTTGTTCTTTTGGATAAATGATAAATAAATGTCATAAATCTCTAGAAAGGCAAAAGCTGGTAAATATTCCATCAAGTCTGATGATAACTTCGATCATTACAAGGTTTATTTCAGGAGAAATGAACAATTGATGATTGTAATGAGAATAGACACGCAGTCAACATTGATGCTGGAAGTGGTGAAGATGTGTCAAGGGGCATCATCCAACTTTCGTTTAGAGAAACACTTTAAGTTAGGGCTTCCCAGTTTTCAGGAGATAGATTTCCATTACCTCCAGAGTGTCAGAAGTGTTTTTTGATGTGCCGGTACTTCATTACAAGGACATTAAGTATTTCTTTTTGAAAAATGAAGTTGCAGCAAAGACTGAATGAAGGATGCATTATGGTAGTGTGAAGCTCAACAGTGCCTTTGGGCTGTAATGATGTGTCAGCTGTGTTGACATCTCTTGCTGTAACTCGTTTGTACGTGTACTCTTGATTTGGATTTGTAAATAATAAAGTTTTCAGTGTCATTACTCACTGCATTAGTCTACACGGGCTCTTCAGCTGGTGCTCGCTCTGTAGGAGATTGCAAACTTAAAGGGATACATCACTGTAGGAGGGACTTTGTCTTTTAAAAATAGTTTAGAAGACTTTAAATTTTAATTATTCTAATCTGACTCCTTCTGGTTCATTACAACCTCTTTAACAACCCAGGTCTTTTGAAAGCCTGCCCCAAGAGAATTATTATAATATTTTTTCAATATTATTACAGCCTTAAGTAAAAGCAAGATGGGGTCTAACCAGGGCCTGGGAAGAAAGAGTGACCAAACCCTTGGGTGTCCAGAAGCACTGAGGAAGGTAGGGCCACATCTCATGACATGTGGCCTCATCTTTAAGATAACTGCTTACAATTTTTTGACTTCCGATTTTTTTTTTTTTGTTATTCTGAAGCTTTTGCTTTACGTTTGCAGATATTACAGAAAGACTAATAGTTGTGTTTTCTGGTGGAGACTGTTCAGTCTGATGCTCCAAGTATCTCTCTGTCATGGCTTTCTGAAGCACTGGTGTTCACAGATCGGCTTCCATTACATAAACAGCTAAATGCAAATCAGCAGCTAATTTTTCCTCTACCAGTATTCATTGTCCAGAGTTCTCAAGTGCTTAAATGCAAAACTTGACGCTACTTGCAATTTAAAGCAGAATCACAGACTTTCCTCCCTGATTCCAACAAATAATTAAATTCAGTGCAGTAGAATAAGGAAGAGAAAACTTCACTCATTATGGATAAATTATCTCACAGCTAAAATGATGTCTCTAATCCCCTGGGAGAGTGGTATTCTCCAAATAACACCTGTTTACCCATGTATCTCAAATTGCTATTGTTGCCTCTTTGAGGAAGCTAGTTGAGTGTCTTAAAATAGTAAAGGCGGTAAGCCGTGTTTTCAGATCACTCAGAAATAACACTGTTGACTCAGCGTGTGATCCAAATATTAAAAATATGCTGGGTTTTGTTGTTTCTGTTTACCTCTGCTCTGGCTGAATACTTTCTCTCTGTAACTCGCTGCCACCTAGGTAGGTTAATAACAAGCTGAATGCCGATGTGTCTGAAATCTCTGCCTTGGTCGTGTGTTAGCACCAAGGCAAACATTGGTGCGTGGGTGACTTGCTGCGGTTGGGAGCCTGCTGTCCTTCTCTTCCTGTCTGCAGGTATAGCATTAGTGTGAGATCCAGTGATGGTAAAGGAGGCTGGACAAGAGGTGTGCAGATGCACCTTGGCTCTACCCAAGCCACCCAGCTCAATATTAGACTCTGTTAATTAGGAATCTTTCCTGTACACCAAGAAAGGATTTTGTCTTGCTCATTGTCAAGCAAACAGGATTTCCAAGTGTGTTATCGCAAGAGTCTGAAAGAAGCAAAAATGTATTAAAATTCAAATGTGGTTTTGTTTATTAGTAACATGGGTGGTAGAAGGAACTATGAGATGTCAGAAAAAAACCCCCAAAAACCCCCACAGTTGAATTCGGGTTGTATATAAAACTTTGTATTCCTTCATTTGATAACACAAAACGTCTTCTTGGTAAGTGGAAATTCATCTGCTGTTCCTGTTGTGCAGTAGTTCTCATTCCTCTTAAAGAATAATCTGATGAGCAGAGTTAAGTAGTAGTACTTTTGCAGGCAGTTCTGGGGAGCACTGACTTTGTGAAAGGAGTGGATTCTTCGTGCACTAAGGATATTATATTTATTTGAGAGGTGGCCTCAGCATCTGAAATTATATTCTCTTGGGGGCAAAATTCGAATAAAAACTTCCCACAAAACCGTCTCGATGCAAGGCTGCCAGTTTCAGGGGAGTTATACTCAACACCAGTCCATGTTTTTAGGAAAACAATATTAGCAAAAAAAAAAAGAAAGCACAAGCTAAAGTTGTTAAACTGTAAACTATGTAAATCTTTTTTCTGGTGAAACTAAGGGTGTCTCCTCAAAAGCCAGCACAGGAGTTTCTCAAGCTTCTCTGCTTATCAGCAGTGCTAATGGTACAAAACTCTGTGCTGCGCGGCATGATTAAGGCAATAGTTTGCAATTTGTTGCCAAGCTTGGATGAGTTTGAATTTTCAACCACTATTTTTTTTAATGGAGTCTTATGGAAATACTTCCCTACCTTGCTAGCTGCAGCCCCAGAAATTACCCTAACTTTACAAGGGGCTTGGTAACATGGATAATTTGCAAGGTAAAATAAGGCAACAGTCAGTTGCCAATTAAAACTGCAGAGAC